TTAAAAAATATGAAAATGGATGGTAGATAAGGGTTAAATATGTTCTGGTACTTATCAACTTAAAGTGACACAAGTTATTCACACAACCACACACAAAATGCTAAAGAATAAATTATCTTTCCAACATACAAGAAATGGTCAGTAAAAATTATGTCAAAGACGCCTGTGTTTTCAGATTTCATAAAGTTCAAGGAGAAATGTTTGATCTCCTTTATGTTCTAAGAGAAAGAGAATGAGTCTCATTATTCATCGTTTTTAAGGGGGCTGCATAGCAAAAATAAAGGGGGAGGAAAAAGAGAAAAAGGCTCTGTGAAGTCTGGTCAGTTCTACTCATGAGCTGACTACTTGGGTGTAACCAGCACAGCGGCATGTGCCTTCTCTCTGAGTTTCTGGAGACCTTTATTGACCAGGCAGTCCTCTCAGAGCCAGGATTTAGGGTTTAAATGTACTTTGAGGAGAGCTTCCAGGCGGGCGTAGCTGCAGAAGTGAAGTACTTCTTTCTCTGTGTTCTCTCCCATCTCCCCAGTCAGGAAGTTCCATTTTTTGAATCACCTCAGATTCAGCATGAATATATCTTGGTTCCACTGTAAAATATCTAAATGTGACTGACTCAAGGCCAAGGAGAATATCATTTTTTTTCCAAGCACCATACTAAAAAAAGAGCTTATCACAATTTTGCCTTAATAAAAAAAAATTGTGGTCTTGAAAACTGCCTGATAGGTTCTGTCTAGTGGTTGAAACTGCAAATTGGTGAGCAATAGGAACTAAACCACATTATCTTTTTTTCCCATTAAGTTAGGCTATAATAAAGTACTCCCATTTCTAATTCCTCCTTCTGGCTTCCAGTACCAGGACCTGAATCCTACCAAAGTAATCATATTGGTGCTTTAAGTATTTATGAATGTGACAGGAGAGAGACTTTAGCTGCAAAGTGTTCTATTGAAACATTATTCCAAAAAATGAATGTGATACAGTCACTATAATAAAGATCTCTGGTTGACCATTTGCTATACGTAAATGATACATACTTCATGCGAAATGGGATAGCAAAGCTTGCCCAGTAATTAGTATGGCTTTTTTGTTCTGGTGTAATTTTTGGTAAATGAATGTGTTTTGTTGTTTTTACACAATATTTTCATTATAGACAAATGGATAGAATTTGTATGCACATAAAGATCATTCTCTAGTATTCATTTTTGCCAGTTCTTTGTAGTGAGGCTGGCTAGATGTTTATTTTCTTCCTCTTTTACTGGTTGGGATATTAAATAAATACATACATACATACACACATACATAATGCTAGGTTCTATAATTCAGTATGTTGAAGATATAATAGCTGCATATCACAAATTTAATTGATTTAAATATTCTTATTTTAAAGAGAAATATTTTCTGCCAGTTTCTATTTGGTCTGCTAATAACCTTCATACTACATCTCTTTAATTTGTATAGGAAGACACTGGTGGAAAATTTTTCAGAAACAACTCATATTTCTTAAAGAGAATTTTTTGCATCATGATCTTGTTTGTATATATCTCTAAGATACTGAAAGATATTTGCAAATAAGCATCACCTGTGTCTGTTGAGTGTGTTTCAGTCACAATCTACATGTTTACTGCCAACTAGTGCTAAGTACTGTGCCTGGTATTAGGTATGCAAAGATAGATCCAATTTCTTTGTCCTCGGGAAGCCCATGATCTGGCTCCTGGGGACACAGATTTGTAAATAAATAACTGTAATGCAGTGTGATCATTATAATCTGTACTTAGGACAAAAGAAGATTTTTAATTCTAGTTGGAAAACTGAAAAACATTACATATAAGCTGAGTCATGAAAACGGACAGGAATTTGCTACGTGAAAAAAGAGGACAGTGCGGATATTCTAGGTATCTACTTTCTTGAACTAAAAACTATCTACTCTTCTTTTCCATGCACAGACTAGATGCTTCATTCATTCCTTCAACTAGTATTTAATGAATTCCTACTGTGAACAAGATATTCAGAAACAAAGTGCTTCTATGTCTGTGTGATTTTGCAGTCAGTGATTGTCTAGAACCTAGAGAATATTTTTCTTATCCATAAAATATGTACTACATTGTAAGAGCCATTAATATGGGCATAAGGCCTACAAAGATTTTTTTTTTTTTTAGAAAACTGAATTCAGACAGTCAGTCAACCAACAATATATATTGAGTGCCCGACATGTGCCCAACAATGTTTAGGAGAAAACCCTTGCCTGGAGAAGAATTCCAGAGTCATATCTATCCAGACAAATTTTGTAAAGAACAGAGGAGTCAGGATTGAGTCGGGTGAATGGCCAAGGTTAGGAAGAAAGGAGAGAGATGAGGAAAAGAGGACTTTGAACCAGGCAGGCTGATCACAGAGTTCTGGGGGGAAGAGAGCAAGGAGTGCCCAATGCAGAGAGGCCAGTGGGCTACTGAATTGTTCAGGGTTTCTGCTGACCTGAAGGCCACTTCCAGGGGCATTATGGGAGCAGCTGTGGGGGAGAGGAAGCATGTGGGGCACTTGCAGATACAAGGGGAGACATGTGAGAGGCAGACATGGGGTCAGGAGAAAATATTCTTTAATGTGGCAGAAACCTGTGTATATTTAAATGTGGAATGAATGGACGGATGCAATTCTTCATTTTTCTGGTGTCAAATTTCCTGGCATTTTTATTATTTCATGAAAATTCCTTTACGTATTTTCAGGTTAACAAAATATATGAAAAACATCGTTTGTATTTGTTCACTCAAAGTTTCACAAATTTATTAATTTTTTCTTCATTGATACAAATGAACATTGTGAGTGATAAATAGATCCTATTTTTAATGATTATGTATAGCTAATACAGTAGTTTCAATTCTTATCACACTGAATAGTTTTCAGTGTAAAGGCTCATTTTATTCTGAGTTATTTTATTTATATGCTTAGAATATAAAGTCACTATTACAGTTTTGCTGCATAAGTTATAAGCAGTGTGAATATTGGAATTTAAAAGAGAATGATTGAAAACTACAACTGTTATTTTTGAACATGTGTTTCATAATGTAAGAACAAACTGCATTCAGCTGTTCATTTTATAAAGAGGAAATGCATTTAAAATTAGAATTGTGCCATTCAGAAACTGCAATTCATGCAGTCATATGAGATATTTAAGTGCTCCATATCAGTATGTAGAGAAGAAAATTAATATTTGTTCTTTTTTTGTGTATATATTTTTTTCAAGTACAGTTGGTATATAATATTATATTAGTTTCAAGTATACAACATAGTGATTCAACAGTTATCTACAATATTAAATCCTCACTCCAACTAGTATAGTTACTATCTATCAACATAGAAAGATGTTCCAGAATCATTGGCTCTACTCTCTATGCTTTACTTTCAACTCAGTGACAAATTTTTATTTGTCTGAGATTTTGTGGCCCTTCACCTCTTTCACCCTCTTACCTCTACACCTCCCCTGTGGTAACCACCAGTCATTTCTCAGTGTCTCTGAGTCTACTGTGTTGTTCATTTTGTTTTGTCTTGTTTTTAGATTCCACTTATAAGTGAAATCATATGGCATTTGTCTTTCTTTACGTGACTTATTTCGCTTAGCATAATACCCTTTAGGTCCATCCACATCACAAGTAACAAGATTTATTTCTTTTTATGGATGAATAATATTCTATGTTATATATGTACCACATCTTCTTTATCCATTCATCTACTGATGGACACTTTGGTTGGTTCTATATCTTACTTCTTGTAAATAATGTGACAATAAACATAGGGATTTATGTATCTTTTTGAATCAGTGACTTTGTTTTCTTTGGGTAAATTCCTAGAAATAGGATTACTGGGTCATATGGTATTTCTATTTTTAGTTTTTTTTGAGGACCTTCCGTACTGCTTTCCACAGTGGCTGCACCAATTTATGTTCCCATCAACAGTGTAGGAGGGTTCCCTTGTCTCCACATCTTCACCAACACTTGTTCAGAAAAAGTCACATTTCAATAAAACATTTGGTGATCAAATATTTCTACATAGAACTTTTCCTTGAAAGTTGAGGGTCAGTAAGCATTAGGCTTACCATGATTCAGTGAGAATCAGGTGAAAAATGGGGAAAAAATGTTTATTCTATAAGACATCTGAAGACACTTCACCTCCATTGACCATTGGACCATCAATATGGCCCATGACCGTCCACTGACCATCAACATTGGCAACATCACTTCTTTACTTTCTTCTGAGCCAACATAGACTTTAACCCAAGGTTTGATGAAAATGAGTGCATTATGTATTTTAATCCCCTTCAAAAAAATGAAGACCCTCCATGAAATGATGATGAGCTTTGACTTAATTTTTCCAGTAGTGATGATGGATTTTCCCTGATAGGTCTTTACTCTTGGACTCATGATCCTTTGGGCTCAAGGCCACACTAGGAGAGAGGGTTTGCTAGATTTGTCAGGGTGTGAAACAGAACGTAGGCAGCTAACGCACAGATTAAACCTTCGACCTTGGCCAAGGTAAAGGCGCTCCCACGGCAGGCCCCTGAGCTAAGGGGAGGCTCTGGAGAGTGCACTAAGGGAGTGTGGCTCCTGGGTAAGCCCCGTTAATGTGCTTCTCAGTATGAAGTGGGAGGCTGCTCCCGTTCCTCTGGGGCACCCCCTGTTCCCTGTTCAGATCCTGCTGCTCTGTCTCACCTACATCGACAGTACCCTCTTTTCCTTCCTTTATCCCCCGTCATCCCACACTTGTCAAAAATCCCTTTCTGGAAAGAAGCTGGTATGGATGTGAAAGCCCAAGCATTAAGTCTCCTGAGGCTTTTGAATGTTAAGTTTATCTCCAAATGTTAAGTTTTTCTCCTTATAGTTGTTAATTGCAAATCATATCCAGAATAATGGATTTAGATATTTAGAAATTTCTCCCACAAATTTCACCACAGTGCATAATAAAGGTATGACAAAAAGAGAGAAACTTTTTTTGCATTTATTCATTTTTGTATTTTATAGCGGAAACCCCCAATGGTGGTAGATGATCTTTTTGAAGACATGAAAGATGGTGTTAAGCTACTTGCTCTTCTGGAGGTCCTGTCCGGGCAGAAGCTGGTAAGGATTTGTTCTGTGACCAGACTTGTCAAATTGCTCCTGTTTGGAATTTGGGGATTTTGTTGGAGTTGGGAGAGTAAGGGGCACTGCCCATGTAAAAGAAATTCTCCTCTTTCATAACCTCTTTTGTAGGTAATATGAAGAAGTACTAGTCTACTGGTTACTTTGGGGAGCAAGGAATAATTTCCTTTCTTATTTCTGCACACCGTTATTGAGTTCAAAAAACTATATATTGCAATAGTAACCTTGGAAGAGAGTAAAGAACTTGATCAGTAATCTATCGTGGTTAACTGCTGTGTCTGTGTGGTATCTAGGAAGATTAGTTGCAAATTAACATCTACCTTACTTTAGTGTTTGCTTTTCATTTGGAAAGGATTGTTGGTTCATATCTTTTATTATTTATATAGTTATTTGTTGAAAATTAAGCTTGAAATCAGTATGGCTTCTTTCATACACTTATGGACCTCCTCCATCACCAGTCATTTGTAACAAGAATAGCACGTTGAGAATCATTTCTCTTTACGTGCAGCAGAAACAGCAGTGCGACAAACCACTTTGGCAGTGAGCTATAAAATATATTTTTCTACATTACTTCGTAATAAAATACAGATGGTCCCAACTTATGATGGTTAGGCTCACAATTTTTTTGACTTTATGATGGTGAAAGCAACACACATTCAGTAGAAACCATACTTCAAATTGTGAGTTTTGATCTTTTCCCTGGCTCCCAGTATGCTGGCAGACCCTCCCTCGGGGTGCTGGGCGGCAGTGATCCACAGCTCCCAGTCAGCCACATGTCCATGAGAGTAGACACCCCAGACACTGATAACCATCCTGTCCCTGCACAACCTTTCTGTTTTTCACTTTCAGCCGAATATTCAAAAACTACATAAAATATTCAACACTTCATTTAAAAATGTCTTTGGCTTAAATTATTTTGCCCAACTCTAGGCTAATGTAAGTTTTCCGTGCACCTTTATGGTAGGCTAGGGCTAGGCCAGCCTGTGATATTCAGTGGGTATATTTCAACTCCTGACATTTTCAGCTTATGATGGGTTTATCAGGACATAACCCCATCATAAAATTGAGGAAGACCTGCATTTATTTTATTCTGGCTTGTTTTTTTTTTAATTTCAGAGTAGTAAAGAAGTAATTTGCAAACATAAGCTGTTTACAAATGGTGTTTGCCGTGGTTAGAGAAAGGCACTCAGGAAATAATCTTCAAAATGTTGTATAACAAGCTAGACACACAGTCCAAAGTTGGGAGTACTCCGTTTTTCTTCATCTATTGCATCTTGACAAGAGCTACACAATCATTATTACTTGCATGATTGAGTTTTTAAAAAAGTATTTTTGCCTGAACCTACATTTCCAGTTAATTTTGTGCAGGGTGTTCTCAAAATAGCTTTTGTAAAAGAGTTGTTTGTTGGAAAACACATTTATCTAATTTGACTCATATTGTAGCAGATGCTTTTGGTGCCCCATGTGCCATCCCAGCTCACCTCTGATTTCAGCTAGCGGACATTGTACACACTCTCTATAAAAACATGTGCCTCAAACTCTTGGAAGCCTGTCTCCACATTTCCACCCTCAGGGCTTATATCAAAGCTCCAAGTTACATAAGGCAGCCCTGAGGTTTGGAAAGCTCATGGCCCCAAAGGACTCTCACCAGTGAAATGGGAGCCATAAGTGCCCCAGGTTGGTAGTGGGAGGAAGGACAGTTCTGAGGCATATTTTACACATATCTCTTAGAGGACCCAATAGGATCCCCAGCAGGATTGAGCCCCAGTTGCCCACAGAGGGAACCCCTCTATCTCTCACCCTTTATTGGCTTTTTCTCCTTCCCTGTCTCACTCTCCACACAGTTTTAGTCTTGCTACTTGGGATCACCTCCCCTTAATTGCAGTTGTCAGTTGACAATGTATACAAATATTGAATCATGTTTAATCATGCACACCTGAAACTCTATCAATATACTTCAATTTAAAAAAACAGAATAAATAGGCTTGCAAAAATAGTGTACAAAGGGCACTCTTAGGAAATCTGGAGCACCAAAAAACCCTGCATGTTGACCAGGTGACTTTATTAATCATCAATCATATTTTTAGAGTAGAACTCAAATCTGCAACTGGGTTTGGCATTGTATGCTGACTCTTCATTCAGCTGTGGAGTTCAGTTAGGATAAGACACTACATTGTGCCTTCTAAGGAATATAGCCAGTGCCTTCAGAAAAATTGAAGCCTATAGGAAAGATTACTGTATTAGGACAGGTTAAGTTGTGTAATAGATACAAATGTAAAATAAGATGATACATTAGATGTTTATACCTACTCACTTAGCCAAGATATATTCAAAGAAGGAATATGTATTTTCCCCCTAGATATCAAGTCTTACCATGAAGTTAATTTCACTTAAGACAGGGCAGTATTGGTATAGATATGGACATATTGACAAATACAGTAGAGTCCAGAAACAGACAAGGCATGAACAGAACTTTAGTATATGTCAGAGGTGCAGGTCAGATCTGGGATGATAAGGGAGACTGTTCCACAAATGGAACAGAAAATAAGTTTATCCTAATAGAAAAAGATGAAATTGGATCCTTATCTCATGGCCTATACAAAAATTAAATATACATGGATTAAGGACCTCATGGCAGAAACATTTTAGACTTTTGATAGAAAATGTATATGAATGTCTTTTAGACATTGGAATGGAGAAAAATAAGATTTTTTTTGTATACTTGTATACTGACTATACAAGATTACTACATTTCATTATAGTAAAATTAAGACTCTTTTAAATGTAAAACCTTTAAAGAAGGTAACAAAACAAGTTAAAAATTGGTGAAAGATATTCACAATACATGTGAAAGGTGAGAGAAAAGAATACATAAAGAACATCTTCAAAACAATAACAGTACAAACAGCCTAAAGGAAACCTGGACAAGGATATGAAAAGGCATTTTATGAAAGAGACAGTGTTGAAGGCAGAGGAAGAGATGCCCATATTAGTGTTAATCAGGGATATGCAAACAAAAACCACAGTGAAAGACCAAGTCACATGCATTTGACAGAAAAATTTTTTTGTAAATATCTGTGAAAACCAAGTGTTGAATAGAATATGCATCCATAGGATTTTTCTTTATTGCTGACAAGAGTGAAAAGTAGTACAACACTTTAGAAAAGTCTACATTACTTCAGAAGCTCAAGAGTCACAATCCCTCTGACCGAGCAACTCTAACTTTTTGGACATCCAAGAAAACTTTATACTTGTACTAAATATCAAAGATGGGAGTTACCAGAATGATCCATCAGCATAGATCACAATAAGAATAACCTGTAAATACCCCAGATTTACACCAGATGGAGTGTAGATAAATGACACATTCCATTGCTGTTAAAATGAATGAAATGCAGTGACAGGCAACAACATGAAGGATGAATCTTAGCCATGTAGTATTAGGTGGAAAAGTCTCAAAAGGTTAATACAGGGATGCCCTTTATATAACATTAAAAACTAAAATGAATGTTCTTTTTAAGAGTGCCAATAAATGAAATGAATCTATGTCAAAAAGAGAGCATTGGACTGGCTTTAGTATGCTGGCTGCCATGGGGGTAGGAAGGCAGGCGGATGGAATGAATGGTGGTGGTATTGAGGGGGATAACTTTGTTTTAGTTGGCAGGTTCGTTTTTACATTGTGAAAGATAATTACTTAAATAAGTAAGAGGGCCGTGCATGAACCATTGATGAGCCTGTATCATGTATAACAGGGATTCCCAAGTAAAGAATAAATGCAAATTTAAACAGTATGTTTTCTATTAAAATATTTATTTAATATCATAAAAATTATTACCTGGGATGTTGTTAACTGGACATTAAAAGATACTCAGTTTTGAGCTTGAATGGGAGATTGCTTAGGGTTCTGGTGTCACAAAGAAGAGATCAATTTAACAACAATGCAACCTTGCTGAAGCTGCCTCATGTCAGTCATCCATTTACTTCCTGTAAACATCTACTTCACTGAAAGTATTTTGAATTTTAAAATTAACATCATGGCACATAGAAAGCATATACTAAATTCTGGTAACACAAACCCAATAATGCAGTATACCCTGTGCCAGAAGATACTGTTGTGTGAAAAACATTTCCATTGTCACAGTCCTACTTTTTACCTCTGACTCATAATGCTGAATGTATTTTGGTCATTCAGATGGAGAAATGTTACTAATATTGTCAATAAGTTTTTGTGTTAGTATGACTGAAAAAAGTATTGGGAGTGACCAAGAGTGCTTTTTTAAAGACATTTTTTTTAAAAAGCTCTCTTAGGTTTACAACAAAATTGAAAGTACAGAGATTTCCCTTGTGTCTCCTGCCCCCACACATGCACCAAGAGCAGTTTCCATATAAATATTTCTTGACTTACAGGAGTGATTATCTCAATGGAGAACATGAGAATTTTATGAATTTCTGCTCTTAGGCATACTAAAACCTAGAAGGGAAGTGCACTAACAGACAGGCTGGGTCTGAATGTCTCTGTTGAGTAAATCAGTATACATCCTGGTGCTATAAGAATAAATACTCTAAGTATCTGCTCACCTTTGTAGAAACTGAGTAATGCTGGTTGTTCTAGAATGTCCTTCAAGTATGTTTTTAGTCCACTGAAATAGTTTGATGTCTATTTAATGTGTGCATTTTGATTTACTCCTGTTGCTTCCCCTTTTCCAGCCTTGTGAACAAGTGCGCCGAATGAAGCGAGTCCATGCTGTGGCTAACATAGGCACGGCTCTCAAGTTCCTTGAAGGAAGGAAGGTAAGAGAGAAACAAAACTAAAACACTTCAAAAAGAAGGTGTGGGCATATGGATGTTTCCAATGTTGGCTGTGGGGTACACTGCATGCAATCTATGTAGCATAGACTTGCAGTATTATCGTAAAATAATTTTTAGATTTTACAGAAAAGGGGCAAAAAAGGCACAGAGATTTCATGTCTATACTTTAACTAGCTTCCATCTAATGTGAAGAACTTGTATACATAGCACATGTATGTGTCCATGGTGCAATTGTCAAAGAAAGAAATTAAAATTGGTATGATACTATGAACCAAAGCATAGATATTTGTCTCATTTCATCCATTTTTCCACTGGTGTCTTATCTGTTTCAGGATCCCCCCCCAGTAACACATCTTGCATTTAATTGTGCTCCTTCCTCTCTTCCATTGTGTCTTTGTCTCTCCTTGTCTTTCATGACTTTGACAATAACTCCTAGTCAGTTATTTTGCAGAGTGTCTCTCAATTTGTGTTTATATGATATTTTCTAATGATTAGGTTGGGGTTATTTATATTTGGAAAAATTCAAAGGATGTGATGGTGTGTTCTTCCCAATGCAATGTATTAGTGGACATAGGGTTCTGATAAGTCTTATTGCTGGTGAAGTTAACCTTGGTCTCTTGGTAAGGCTGTCTGCTATATTTTTTATGGTAAAATTACTATTTTCCCCTTTATAATTGAGAAATAATTTAGGGGAGATAATTGATCTTATGCTTATATTCTGTTTCTCCTCAAACTTTTGCTTACTGATTTTAGCATTGATTGTCTTCAGTAATTATTTCTGTGATGTTTTCCTATTGGTGATTTTGTGTTTCCCTCTTTCCTTATCCATATATTAATTGGAATTATTCTTTAAGAAAAAGATGTTCTTTTGCTCCTGTTTACTTATTTATTCAATTATTTATTTCAGCATAAACTCATGAATATTTATTTTATTCTATTGTTATAATCCAATATTATTATTATTATTATTATTAATTATTATTATTTTGCTCAAATTTTTCTAGCTTTGGACATTAAGAGCTCCTAAAGGCTGACCCCCTACTCTTTTGACATGGCCCATCCTTTTTTAAGCATTTGTTTATTTTCCAGAACTACTAGGTGAAAATTTTCCAGATTTTCTAGGTGTGTCTTGTATTTTCCTTGAATCAACGTCTTCTCTAAAAAGGCTTTATTCCTTTTATTAGTGAATGGCATTTAGAAACAAGATGTGGGTGCTAGGTGTGCTCACTGCTACTGAGGCGTCATTGCCCCTCTGCCTTCTCAATAGACAGATCTAGAAAATATGAATGTTTACTATCCCAGGTATGCACATATATCTATGTTTGTCTCTCTTTATCTCTCTGTTTCGATCTCTCCTTTCTTTGTGTGTGTGTATGTGTGTGTGTTTGTGTAGAGCTTCTCCTGGGTATGTATATATAAACCCTAAGTTCAAACCAATACTTCTGATTCCGTAGCACAAGGCTCGCTCCCGCCTTCCTGGCTTATTTGTTTCTACTTTCTCTGACAGAGAGACCTGGCTCTCATCTGCAATATAGTTGCCTATGTCTTCAACCCTAGCATATACATAAAATAGTTTCAGAATTGCTTACCACACCCCTGTGAGAAACTAACTGGAGAAGAGTGTGCGTCTATAGTTAGTACTTTCAGTATTTAACATTAAAACGTCCAGTCAAGACTGTTTTCCAAATTTACTTAGGCTAATTCTGTTTTTCTCCCTTCCCTTCAGTGTGGTTATGTTATTTATTTGTAAAAGAGTTATATTCCATTTTGGGTAACTACCCCCTCTCCCCTTATCCTAGCTGCCTTTATTTATTTATTTTGAGAAATGAAATATTACTATGACTCTAAGAGTAAAAATTATATATAGAGAAGTAGTAGCACTCCCTTCTCTTCTGTACTATGCCTTTCTCATTTCCCTTCCATTCACTCCCTTCTCACCTTAGGTTACCAGTCTTTCTAGTTTCTGATTTATCCTTCCTGTATTTCTTTTGCAGAAATGAGCAGATGTATTTTCATATATTACCTTTTTTCTGACATAAAGGATAGCATACTGTAAATAAAGTATTACATTTTGCTTTTTTTCATTTAACGGTATATCCTGGAAATCACTCAGATCAGTTAATGGAGATCGTCTCATTCATTTTTTTCACAGCTACATAATATTCCTTTGTCTAGATATATCAGCATTTATTTAGCCCTTATGAATGATCATTTAGGTTGTTTCTAGTAGTTTTCAGACACAACAAAGGCTGTAATTAATAGCTGTGTATAAGTCCTTCCATATTATTGGAGCTGAATCTTCTTGGTAAATTCCTAAAGTGTGATTGCTGGGTGTAAGGTAAATGTTAGGCAGTTTTATTAGGTATTACCATAGTTCCTTCCAAAAGGATTGCACCCATCCTTTTAGATTTAGCCTTTTCTAATTTGTGGGAATCTAGGAAGTCTGTGTTTGGCAGTACCAAAACCAGTTTATAAATAGATATCCAGAAACTTCTGGAAAACAGAATGATTCAGTTATTTCCTTCTCAGTTCATATGTACTACATTAATTTATTTACTGCACAGATGCATAATTAATCACTTCCTATGTGACAGGAACTCCAGAAAATACATAACTTTTTAAGATTCTGATCCTTGAATAATTTATATTTGATCAATTGGTAGTACAGTGAGTCAGCATAAAGTTCAGATAGCTGTGCAAAACTTCATGCCACAGAGAGATTTTGGGCAGTAAGATGGTCTAGTAAAATAATATTAGCTTCCTGTGGGATATAGGACATTATTTCCAGATCACTCTAACATCACGTTAGTGGGATGTTTCTTTTCTCCTAGCTCCCCCCATGAGTTTTTCATAGAAAGTTGAATAAAGCATTCTTGAACAGGATATTTAGAGTTTTCCACGTCATTCAGTTTCCCATTTCAGCTGTATAACAATAGTGTCCTATTTTGTGCTGAGATATATTCATTGGCTAGACTACAAAAACAAAACCCTCTTAATAAATGTGGGAGAAATCTTTGATGATTTAACCTATGAAAGTCATTGTCAGTAAAGAGGACCAAAGAATCTTCTTTTCACAGAAGACTTATTTTGTACCAAGTCCATTTTCACAGAACAACCCTAAGTAACAAAAAACCAGTTGTGGGGAGGAATGAATTTTTGAGGGCTTTTTGGGGCCCTCCCTCATACTATTTTTCTTCTTTAGAATTTAAGAACCTATATCTCAAACGTATTTTCAGGAATTTGTCTTTGACCTTTGTGCTTACTTTGTCCTCCATTTAGATTTTTTCTTTGATTAACAGACAATCTGTTTAGTCCTTGGATTCCAGTTTGATTTAAGGAATAATCAAGGCACCTTCAAGTTTCCCTGGAGAAAACCCTACCACTATGTTTACCGTCTATTTTACAGGGCTCTTGAGAAAAGCATGTATTAGTATCTGATAAGAATTGTGTTAACTGTGACTCTAATGAATAAATCCATCACCACCTCCACAGTTTTTCTTTATAAGGTGTCAGGTGGATCATTCTAGACAATAATACAAAGACCCAGCCACCAACCACCTTTATGAAAACTTGCCATAGTGCAAACAAGGACAGAAATTTAGATTCCTTGGAGGTCCAGATAGGTGATCTGGAAGGTGAAGTGAGTTATAGGCCAACTGTGGTAGTAGTCCCATGCCCTGTCAGGAACAGGGAAGCAGATACTCAGTGCCATCTATAGTTACCACAGTGAAGTTCAAGCTCGGTGATCCCAGGTTTTCTAACTGAACAAACAAAGCAGCCAACAATCTTCTTGACTTTTATTGAAATTTAATGATCCATTTAATTTATTTAAATCATTTTCTAAGTAGTGTAGGTAGTTGGCTACTATATTACTGTTTAGAATGATTCACCCAACATCTCATTATAGAAAACAGCTAATATAAAGTGGCTATGCATCTATTCAATAGGTTTACCAAATCTTCAAGAAAAACTAATAATCTGGGTATTTTATTGAAATTTATTCCTAAATAATTCAAATATTTTTTGAACCTTGTATTAGCCTTCTGTGGCTTCCATAACAATACCACAGATGGGGTGCCATAGTGCAAACAGGGACATAAATTTAGATTCCTTTGAGGTCCAGATAGGTGATCTAAAAGGTGAAGTGAGTTGGAGGCTAGCTGTGGTAGTAGTCCCATGCCCTGTCAGGAAGAGAGAAACAAATACTCAGTGCCATCTATAGTGATCTGAAGGTGGTTGGTGGCTGGGTCCTTGTATTAAACAACACAAATTCACTTTCTCACAGTTCTGGAGGCTAGAGGTCCAAGGTCAAGGTGCCGGTAGAGTTGTTGTCTTCCTCTCTTTCTGGCTTGAGGCAGCTGCTTTCTCAGTGAGCCCTCACATGGCCTCTCCTCTGGTGGGTGTGGAGAAAGTGAGCTCCAATGTCTCTTCCTCTTGTTATAAGGGCATGAATCCAATTGGATTAGGGCCCATTCTTATAACCTTAATTGCCCCCTTGAAGACCCTATCTCCAAATGCAGTCACACTGGGGGTTAGGGCCTCAATATGTGGATTTGGGGGTACACAATTGAGTCCATACAGGCCTCCGGCTTGCAAAATCAAACTTCAACAGATTAAGTGGGGCATGTACAATTGCCTAGTCCCAGGTTCTCAAATGTTGACATGCATCAGAATCAATAAAACCTGCAGATTTTACTAAAGCAGATTATTGGGCTACATCCCCTTAGTTTCTGGGTCAGCAGGTATGAGGGAGGTCATCACTGTGACCCCATCTTCTTTCTGGTCCCTGGGAATTCTTTAGTCTTTCTGGGTGTCTTACTGCCTATCGCACGCTCTAGGTTACTAAGAATTTATTGTAGGTTTAATGGGATTTTGCAAGGGAGGGGAGGGCAAACAAACAAATAAACAAAACCTGTGTTCCATAAATTCATTATGGAATACAGCTTTTAAGGGAGGAAATAAATATGAAAAACATTTTTCTTCGCAAGTTGAACAAATGATCTTTAGGTTCTTTAAAAGATCTCTGGTTTCATAAGTTGAATATGTTAAGTTCATACTGCAGTTGGAGCTGGGTTGCAGTAGGAAATTCAATTTATGTTCAATTGCATTTTAAAATGAATGCTATGTAAGGAAAGAGAAATAGTCTGTCCTCCATGAAATGCATTAATGTTACAGTGACCAACATGTATTATGAATTTCCGACCCACGAATACTAAAAAGGACCTGGAGAAAATTCTGGAAAAGTTGTAAAACAGAGCAATAGAAATGATTTTAGAGATTGTAACAGATTCTATGATAAAAGGTTAAAGAAATGCGATATTCCTTATTTTCCACAAACCTGTACTATATGTCTTACATGGTACTAGATTTAAAAGAAGTAAACACATAAGCTTGTAAAATCTCTGGAAGTTCTCCATTTTTTTTCTGTCTCTGAACCTGACGAGCTTCACTACTGAGACAAAATCCCATGTGCATACTTCAAATTATTGACGATTTTTGCGCTAGCTGTTATACTGTACCTCTGATATAGAACCAGTAAGATTTTGCATCTGATAATTTTTTGCATTAATGAATTTCTGAATGTTATTTACATTTACAAATTTCTGAATGTTATTGATCATAAACCTTATTGAATCCTGGCTGAGAATTATTGAGCTAGAAAGCTAAGGAGTACCTATTTTTTTCTAATTTGTTTCAGGATTCTGAAAAGATGATAAGCAGCTGTTAATTGTATTGTGTAGTGATTGATTGAGATAGACGTACCATACAAGTCCATTTTGCTGGGCTTAGGAGATAACATTTTTAATGGTTAGGAAGGCATTGAGATGAGTAATTAGGGACAATTGTAGACAGATCAACTATCCTGAATGATTTATAGTTGTTAGTGCCCAGAAGGAACCAAACTCTAATATTCTCTTCTTTTTCTTGGCCTTCCATTGTCTTTAAAATATATCCCCCAAACCACGTTCTAAATTTACCACTTCCATTCTTATTCCCGTTGAACAAATAACACTGATTTTGAAAGATTATTTATGTGTGTATATCATCTTCTCCCTTTGCTTTTCATGTCAGTCCATGTACAGAGGATCACCGGTTAGTATGAATTTTAGAATTTTTAACTCCTGACTTTTATAGGTAAAGAGAACATAAGTATCATGCTATTTGGTAACAAACTTCAAAGTAAGTGTATCTTCTTAAACTACTCATCACAGTTTCTTTTAAGTTCCAGTCAACTTCTGAATGTAAAGAATAACCTTTTTTTTTCTGTTTAATCTTTAGTTGATAATTCCTTGCATGGTGTAATATGTTTTTAACTTTAAATCAAGTTTTTGAAATTCACTCGATAGTTATTTTTATTGTCATACCTAATGAATGCTCCCAAAATGTCCACTGAAACTGTGTGCTTGACTGTTTTGTCTTACCCTGCTTACTCTTGTATGCCACTACATAGCATGACCAAATTGTATTGATGTCTAATAAAATGATAATTATTGCATAATTAAATTGTCTATAATCTTCTAGTACATTACTAGTACAGTTTTTCTTTTTAAACAGATTAAATTAGTCAACATCAACTCCACTGATATAGCTGATGGCCGACCCTCAATAGTTCTGGGATTAATGTGGACCATTATTCTATATTTCCAGGTATTGTACTACAACTCCTTTTTCTGTTGATATGATGCCATGGATGGAGGTAGTGGTGGACCCTTTAATAATGCCCATTTTCTGTACCTCTGAGGTTGATCCTTAAGGCGGCAGCAATGTGATCTTTACATGTACATTGTCTTTTGCAAGCAGGAAAATTTCCTCCTCTTTCTCACAAAGGTTCTATATGGAACTCCCCAAAGAACTCTGGCTTAGGTTCTCAGTCTGAAAAGTGGGCAAGACACAATGGAGAAGAAATATTGGGGTAGCAAGAGTTCAGGAAAATTTTCATTGTTTTCTGGAAGAGAGAAGTTCTATGCTTGTAGACATTGAGAGGAGAAATTCACTTGCCCTTCCATCTAGAATAATTGTTTTAGTCATAATGTTTTTGTTTTTTAGAGCAGTCTTGGGTTCACAGCAAAATTGAGCAGAAGGCACAGAGAGTTCTCCTAGACCTCTGCGCCCCTTACACACAGCCTCCCTCATAACCACCATTACCAGAGGGAAGGGTATATCTGTCTGTTGCGCTAATGAACCTATGGTGACACATCATTATCATTCAGTCTGTAGTTTTTACATTCAGGTTCACTTTTAGTCTTGTACATTCTGTGAGTTTGGGTAACCATTAGGTTTTACCTTCCTCATTTAACTAGTCTTATTACTATGTATGCAGAACATTTTGATGCAGTGGGAAGTACAAAGAGGAGTCAGACATTCACCGTGCCCTTCAGGAGCTTATATTGCCAGTGGTGTTAAGGGTGTTAGGATAAATCATTTCTGTTGGAAAAGTAAAACATCTGAGGAAAGAGGAACAAAGATAATTCTTACATTTTTGCCAAACTGTTGCGCACACAGATTGAGGAGCTGACCAGCAACCTTCCACAGCTGCAGTCCTTGTCCAGCAGCACGTCCTCTGTGGAGAGCATGGTCAGCTCGGAGACCGCCAGCCCCCCCAGTAAGCGGAAAGTGGCCTCCAAGACCCAAGGAAATGCGAAGAAGGCTTTATTAAAGTGGGTTCAGCACACAGCAGCCAAGTAAGTACCAAGAGTTTGTTTAAATTTGAAACCTTTGAATACCGTGAGTTACTAATTTATTACTTGGTGTGCCTTGAATACTAAAAAGGACCTGGAGAAAATTCTGGAAAAGTTGTAAAACAGAGCAATAGAAATGATTTTAGAGATTGTAACAGATTCTATGATAAAAGGTTAAAGAAATGCGATATTCCTTATTTTCCACAAACCTGTACTATATGTCTTACATGGTACTAGATTTAAAAGAAGTAAACACATAAGCTTGTAAAATCTCTGGAAGTTCTCCATTTTTTTTCTGTCTCTGAACCTGACGAGCTTCACTACTGAGACAAAATCCCATGTGCATACTTCAAATTATTGACGATTTTTGCGCTAGCTGTTATACTGTACCTCTGATATAGAACCAGTAAGATTTTGCATCTGATAATTTTTTGCATTAATGAATTTCTGAATGTTATTTACATTTACAAATTTCTGAATGTTATTGATCATAAACCTTATTAAATCCTGGCTGAGAATTATTGAGCTAGAAAGCTAAGGAGTACCTATTTTTTTCTAATTTGTTTCAGGATTCTGAAAAGATGATAAGCAGCTGTTAATTGTATTGTGTAGTGATTGATTGAGATAGACGTACCATACAAGTCCATTTTGCTGGGCTTAGGAGATAACATTTTTAATGGTTAGGAAGGCATTGAGATGAGTAATTAGGGACAATTGTAGACAGATCAACTATCCTGAATGATTTATAGTTGTTAGTGCCCAGAAGGAACCAAACTCTAATATTCTCTTCTTTTTCTTGGCCTTCCATTGTCTTTAAAATATATCCCCCAAACCATGTTCTAAATTTACCACTTCCATTCTTATTCCCGTTGAACAAATAACACTGATTTTGAAAGATTATTTATGTGTGTATATCATCTTCTCCCTTTGCTTTTCATGTCAGTCCATGTACAGAGGATCACCGGTTAGTATGAATTTTAGAATTTTTAACTCCTGACTTTTATAGGTAAAGAGAACATAAGTATCATGCTATTTGGTAACAAACTTCAAAGTAAGTGTATCTTCTTAAACTACTCATCACAGTTTCTTTTAAGTTCCAGTCAACTTCTGAATGTAAAGAATAACCTTTTTTTTTCTGTTTAATCTTTAGTTGATAATTCCTTGCATGGTGTAATATGTTTTTAACTTTAAATCAAGTTTTTGAAATTCACTCGATAGTTATTTTTATTGTCATACCTAATGAATGCTCCCAAAATGTCCACTGAAACTGTGTGCTTGACTGTTTTGTCTTACCCTGCTTACTCTTGTATGCCACTACATAGGCATGACCAAATTGTATTGATGTCTAATAAAATGCTAATTATTGCATAATTAAATTGTCTATAATCTTCTAGTACATTACTAGTACAGTTTTTCTTTTTAAACAGATTAAATTAGTCAACATCAACTCCACTGATATAGCTGATGGCCGACCCTCAATAGTTCTGGGATTAATGTGGACCATTATTCTATATTTCCAGGTATTGTACTACAACTCCTTTTTCTGTTGATATGATGCCATGGATGGAGGTAGTGGTGGACCCTTTAATAATGCCCATTTTCTGTACCTCTGAGGTTGATCCTTAAGGCGGCAGCAATGTGATCTTTACATGTACATTGTCTTTTGCAAGCAGGAAAATTTCCTCCTCTTTCTCACAAAGGTTCTATATGGAACTCCCCAAAGAACTCTGGCTTAGGTTCTCAGTCTGAAAAGTGGGCAAGACACAATGGAGAAGAAATATTGGGGTAGCAAGAGTTCAGGAAAATTTTCATTGTTTTCTGGAAGAGAGAAGTTCTATGCTTGTAGACATTGAGAGGAGAAATTCACTTGCCCTTCCATCTAGAATAATTGTTTTAGTCATAATGTTTTTGTTTTTTAGAGCAGTCTTGGGTTCACAGCAAAATTGAGCAGAAGGCACAGAGAGTTCTCCTAGACCTCTGCGCCCCTTACACACAGCCTCCCTCATAACCACCATTACCAGAGGGAAGGGTATATCTGTCTGTTGCGCTAATGAACCTATGGTGACACATCATTATCATTCAGTCTGTAGTTTTTACATTCAGGTTCACTTTTAGTCTTGTACATTCTGTGAGTTTGGGTAACCATTAGGTTTTACCTTCCTCATTTAACTAGTCTTATTACTATGTATGCAGAACATTTTGATGCAGTGGGAAGTACAAAGAGGAGTCAGACATTCACCGTGCCCTTCAGGAGCTTATATTGCCAGTGGTGTTAAGGGTGTTAGGATAAATCATTTCTGTTGGAAAAGTAAAACATCTGAGGAAAGAGGAACAAAGATAATTCTTACATTTTTGCCAAACTGTTGCGCACACAGATTGAGGAGCTGACCAGCAACCTTCCACAGCTGCAGTCCTTGTCCAGCAGCACGTCCTCTGTGGAGAGCATGGTCAGCTCGGAGACAGCCAGCCCCCCCAGTAAGCGGAAAGTGGCCTCCAAGACCCAAGGAAATGCGAAGAAGGCTTTATTAAAGTGGGTTCAGCACACAGCAGCCAAGTAAGTACCAAGAGTTTGTTTAAATTTGAAACCTTTGAATACCGTGAGTTACTAATTTATTACTTGGTGTGCCTTCCAATGATTATAAAATCTGAAGAAACATTTGAACGAATAGCTTGGCTTTGAGTTTGGTTTCACTCTTTCTTTGAATTAAAATGTAAATAGAAATCTTCACTAACAGTCTAGGAAAATGCCGACACGATACTAATTCCTTCATCATGTGATTGGGTCTGATTAATGACATTGTTTAATTCCTATGCTTTGATTAGTAGCATGAGAGCCAATTCTATTTAGGTCATTATTTGGACTTTGTGTTCCTATTAAATAATCTTTATGAAACTAAATTAGAGGCTTAAGTTTGATTACCTCTTCACAATGCTCTGAGTTCTATTTAATGGTAATGTCCAAATTTCTGAAATTGTATTTGTTTTTACTTCCTGAAACTTTCCAGCAATTTTATTTAAAAGTGTTCTTTCTTTGATGTTACCTCTTATCTAAAATATAGATTATTTTGTCAGCTCCGGCTTTAGAGACTGTGAACTCACTTCTAGTTTTGTTTGCTTGTAAGCATATTAAATTTACATTGCTCATATGTTTATGTGATAAGGCTGGATAGAAAATCACTTCTGTCAAAAAATATCTTCTCATAACAATTTCAGTACAGCTTTCCATTGGCCATTACTAATATATTTTGTCCAATGTGATCAGTGGTGAGATCTCTTTACCTACAAGTTGTGCTTTTGTATGATTTTCCTAAGATATACAGTTATCTCACTTTCTATTTTGTTTTGTGTGTCTCAATCTAATCTGACTCTTCTCCACTTCCAGAAAATAGTTGGAAACAAGTACTTATCATTATAAAATTTTTAGGCACTAAACATAGGAAGTTCTATTTTTAAAGCATTTGAAGAGCAAAAATAAGGAAAGAAAAAAACAAACATAGAGAAGCTGTAATTAGTGTTACTATTTTGTGTGGTTTTGCTTAACTTTTAAAGTGTGTTGGTGGTTTTCTAATTTGGGATATGTTTCTATGATTCAAATTGTACTAAAAAGTATTTCTGAAAGCAAAGCTTTATAACTCGTTAGAATCTGTTGTAGAAGGAAATACAAGCCCTGCCCACATTGCTGGTACAGTGAGCATTACTAATCTCTTTTGCAGCTTAATTGAGCAGGGAGAAGAAATGGGCTGGGTTAGGAGGATACTGGTGGCCGTATGCTGTGGCATTTGTCATGACACTACTACAACAAAACTTTGTGATAATGTCACTGTGATGTTCTCTTGCTCATGCTCCACACAGTAAATTAACCAAAAAAACTGATTTTCATTTAATAATATAGTAGCTTGGATTAAACTCAAATTTAGCACTGTTGGAGATTTTCCTTACAATAGTTTTGTTTCACATGTGGTGTGTTGGGTTTCAAAGATGTTCAGGGGTCTAATGATGATTAAAAGTCACTCTTGCAACTTGTGTGTTTGTAACATCAGTGGAAATTGTATTTTCCTTATCTGTGTAAATGTGCAGATTTACAGACTCAAGGGTTCTCCACCCATTGGCACGTCAACGAGATCCCTTTATTTTATAGCTGCACAAGTTGTAGGGATTTGGGAGAGATGACTGCTCTCCACCATGAAAATTATGTAATGAACACAAAACTCCATTATGTTAACAAATGGTTGGTAATTTCTCTAAAAGCTGCTTTTACACTATCCCAGTATGTGTTTTTCAAGCAACTTCCTATCTGACATGGATAAGACTTTAGAATCTGCACCCATTTCAGTATGTGACATGTTTCTAACATTATAATCTGTGAGACTGTAGTCTGAAGCTTCATCAGTATCTCAGGACAGAAGAAGGCAAAAAAGCATTAAACATCCCGTGACACCAGACAAATGGTCAGGGTGTTTCACTGTTTTCATTTAAAATATGAGGAGTAAATAAAATAAATAAAGTAAATAAAACACAGTTTCAGTAGCATAATATAGCTAAGCCCTCTTTTTTTTTAAAATCATTTCATCTACTATCAGTACATGAAATGAAAATGTTAAGTCATAGTGTAGCTGATACTTATTTTCAAATGTCTAAAAAGAACAATTGTATTTTAGGCAAAAAATTTAAAAATTAGTCAAACAATTTTATATATATATACACAGATCCATTCAAAGTAACGAAGTCACTGTGTGTTAGAGATCTGAAAGGCCTTTAGAGTGAATTACTTCATCATGTCTTTAAGTGATGTATTTAAGTTTCTTTAAGTTTGTATCACTTCTTTAAGTGAGGTATTTAAGTTTTCTTTGATTTTGTATCTAAGATTCTTAAATGAGAGGTTTGAACTTAAGTTAAAATTTTTAGGAATCCACCTACTGCTTTGATCTGATATGAAACATTATAGATGTAATGTGTGTGTATATGTGTGTATGTGTTTAACAAATGTAGAGGAAGAAAATGTACTGAAACATTTTAAGTTATTCCAACATAGTGTATTTAGGGAAATAGTGTATATTATTTCTTTTTGAAAATGCTTAAAACAATAGACAAGTTCCAGAAAATCAGAAAATATCTAAAAGGTGATGAATATTTATCTAATTATTTATTTACATGCACCTCATTTTGTTAAAAGAAATAATTTGAGATGGCTTAAAGACACTGTGAATGCAAGAACATTTTACAATGAGGAAATGTGAGCAAAGGGAAAATATAGGTAGAAAAGTAAGAGGAAGCTGGAAGCTAATGTACGAATGAATAGGTAACAAGAACTGCTCAGCCTGGGATAGTATTTGCCTGTATGCTAGACATTGGCTGAAAATTATATCCATACCACCCGAGACAGGAACTAAAAGAACTAAGAGGAGATACAAGCTTACAATTACTGGAATCTTACAGAATTATTTTTTAAATATATATTTGTGAAGTCAGTGATTAGGTCCAATAATGCTATTTTAAGCAAAATATTTTTTATGCAAACAATGTACATTAATGAAGCATGATTTTTCTCTAAGCTTAAGTTTGCAGACATAAAATTTAAGAGCATTTAGCATTTTTTTTTACTAATCAGTGTGTCAGTCAGAGGTATTGTTCTTGGAAATTTTGACAATATAGTAAAGAATTGAGTGATATTATTTCTGCTTTGTTTAGAAACTGTAATGGCACTAGTTTTCTTAAAAAGAAACTGCCAGAATATTTATCTATTGAATATGACCTAATTAATTGATCACCTTTAGAAGCTCTAGACTTACTCAAAGAATGTTTCTCAAAAACATCTCTTTGCAACTCTCCTTTTGGAATTTCCTTTGTAGTTGGTAAAATACATGTCAAAAAAATTGTTCATTGTGAGCTTGCCTCAGTTCTGTTTTCAACAACAAAATACTACTACCAACTTGAAACACTTCTAAATTATCACAACTGGCTTTGCATTAATCAAATCCACCATGAAAGAACACAGATTTGCCCCCTGGACATTGCCCTCAAGAAAATTCCAAAGAAGTTTAAAAAACAATTTGATCAATTTGAATGGTGGGGCAAATAAAATCATGTCTGGACTTATGTGGAGTATAGGTTCCTTTGAGATTGATTTAGACATAGGATCATGTCCATTTGCATTTGTTTATTACAATGCATTTGATGTAATTCAGCCACATGCTTTTGGTCTATTATAACCTGTGCATGAGCAATACAGTGCTGCTTATTGTGTCAGATACTTCTTCAAAAAAATACAGTGGTGAATTATTATCAATTTTGGTGTTTTTATAATTCTCTTTTTTATTTTGCCAGGTACTTTTTCTCTTAGTAAAATTCCTTAAAAAATGTGCTTCACACTGAGAAGTCTAACATAGAGAAGTCTAGAAATGGAATCAGGATGTCTACATCTTACCTTGTTACCCTCTAAAAATTTTGTTTTGCTTAATTTTGCTCAAAACCAGTTAAATGATATAGCTAACTGTATATCATTCATTGCTGAGGAGGATTGGATTTTTCATATGACCTTAAGGAAGGTATATATTATCTGTTCAGAATGTAACATTATTTTACTTTTTATCACACTAAGGCAGACTGGAATAGAAGTGAAAGACTTTGGGAGGAGTTGGAGAAGTGGTGTTGCCTTTCATTCAGTCATCCATGCCATTCGACCAGAACTAGTGGACTTGGAGAATGTGAAAGGGAGATCTAACCGAGAAAACCTGGAGGAGGCTTTCACCATTGCTGAAATGGAACTGGGAATCCCAAGACTACTAGATCCAGAAGGTATGTTGGGTAATGAATGATTGGCTCTTGTATATGTCAACTCAGTCGTTTTTAAGTCTTAATCCCACAAATTACAGATGACTTCCAAAACTATTAGAGGCCAGAAAACTTTAGAAAAGTCCTGTACCAATTGTCTCTTGGAAAAATATTTGCCACTATATAGGAGAGCAAGATACAGCTCTATTGCTCTGAGCAACACTTTGACATTGGTTGTATCAGCCAGGTTAACTGCACTTACTCAGTATGCCTTAGGGCAGAATGACAGTTTTAAAAGCATGTATACTGGGGAAAGAGGAGTGTCACAGGATAAATAATTTATGCTATTTATATAACTCCAAAGAATATGAAAGAGGTGAAAAGTTATTAGTAATCTAAGGTCATATCTTTTAAATGTCAGTCATTAGGAACTTAGAAATATTGATAAACCATCCATTGTTTTTCTGTCAATCAGGCAAACTACACAAATGATTGACTGATATTTTTCATTAGAATTGTCATCTTTTTTATAAGGCTGTGGATTTTAAAACTTTCTGGAAAAGGAGTTAACTCTTTCAAGCCTTCAAAGGCAATTTTGATGCCTTTAATACACTTAAATAAATTGAGTAAGTTGTTTGTTATATTAAAATAAAAGGGTCAGAACAAGTTTTCCAAATGTCACAATTTCTTATTTGGGTTGGCAATTATGGAAATTTCTGTGGATGAATGTGGAAATGTCAATACAGCAAAAGCAAGTTATTCTTACAGATGAGATTTCAGAAAGAATATGTCTAGCTCTACGATAGTGTCTAAGTGGAGACACTTGTGTTTCCAGGAGTAAGTTACAGAGACCTACAGGTCACTGGATGGTGTCCTCTGAGATGAGCAGTCACTGGAGATCCCTTGCCATTTTTGGAATCTTCTGTGGGTTCCCTAGATTCACTGGGATAATAAAAGGGTCTCCACCTTGATTCTGTACCAAAAAAAAAAAAAAGCAATAGTATTCAATACACTACTCAGTTCAAGGGGAAAGCCGCACACATATCTTAGCCCTCAACTTCAGAGGGTGCATCAGAGCTGAAATTTTCCCTCCAATGGGAGAGGAGGAGGGTATATCTAGTTCTCTCATATCCACTAGACTAACGGATCTAAATATTTTATTTTATGGTCAGAAATGAGTTGCCACCACCGAAGTCTACTTCAGAAATAAAGTGACCCTTTATTTTTTTCCTTATGAGGACTTACCCTCAAAAACTTCTTTAGCCAACTTGAATCTATAAACTTTTAGGACTATAGACCAACTATACCCATTTCTATTATAACAATTATTTTATGATTTAGTCGCATGTATATTTAAAAGCATATACTATACTAAGTCATGTATTAAATGTTGCTTTTTTTTTCCGCTTTCACATTTCATGAAAGTTTTACTCGTTCTTCACATGCGTCTTCCACATTGGTGATACCATTTCTAGAGTCACTTTTGAGTGATGGAATGAATTCTGAATACACTTTTTGTTTCCTTTTAACTCTTTTGAGTTCCATCATCTTCTGAATCCTACATTGAAAGTCCCTAGAAATTATATCTCAAATCACAAAGAATATTGTTATATTTTTCCTCTGTATGTACAGATTTTATATCTGTAAACTCCAAATGTAATCGCCTTTCTGGTTGTCTTTAAAAGGATAGTTAAAACATTTATTTAAAGCATTTGATCCTTTTTATGTATGTAGTCTTACCACCATTCTATAATTATTAAATTTGTGTAAGAATCCTTGCTTGATTTTTATTGATTTCATTAGGTTAACATCTATGCACTTAAAAATAACAGAAATTGAGATCTTTTCAAATTCTGTTTTTCCTTCAAAGAGTACCTGATTGTTCAAAGTACAGTGATTTAGAGAGAATGCTCGGCAATGGAGAGGTGACTTAAGGAGTTGGATATAAGTCATTTCCCTCTTTTCTACAATAGAATGTGTTGGGGGAAAGGGGCTTCTCTATATTTGGCCATATGGTGTACAAGCTATATAATCACTTGTCATCCTTTGTCACACCTACAAATGCTTTTTACTACCCACTCACCCCAATTCTGAAATTTACTTATTATTTGTATTTTATTAACTAGACATTTGATCCTTTGTTTGAATAACCACATAGTATCTCATATTTCTGATGAATTAATGTTGAAATTAATAAGTGACACATGTACAACTTTCCTCAAAGCTCTTAGTTGAAATGGGACATATTTCTGAGTCATAAAATATCTATTATGTATCATCCAGACTAAAGTGATTTCCCTTCCTCCATCTCTAAATATTAATCCTGTTTTGTTTTTTGTTTCTTTTTGCATGTAGGACAGTGGCTTTTGGCATATTAGCTAAGTTTCAAAGTTTGTCCTGTTAAAATCTAATTAATGCTAATTAATTCATTGATCTTTGGTTTTGGTTTTTCCAGATGTTGATGTGGATAAACCAGATGAGAAGTCTATTATGACCTATGTAGCCCAGTTTCTGAAACATTATCCTGACATCCACACTACGGGCACTGATGGGCAAGAGAATGATGTAAGTATTTGTTTCACTTCAAGCTTTGACAGCGCATTCAGTGATGGGGACTCAGATTTTTAAGCACACTCTTTTCAAAAAATTAAATTGGAATGCATTTTACTCTGAGAGGAACAGAGTAAAAACTAGATCTCACCAAATGGGAATGAGATTAGACATCCTATTTGTATGTTGGTTATGTCGAGAGAGAAGATTATTAATAATAAATACTGGACATATAATGCTGATGACTGAAAACTGAGGGGCGATAGCAGTTTTGGAGAACTCCATTTTAGCAATTCAATGATTAAAGTAATTTTGTATCATGTCATTTACACATCTAAATCTTGACTTTTCATGTCCTGTTGAAATCTCATTTTGACTTATATTTATTATAAGTTGCTACCTGCAGCACATATATGGGAATAAGCAAACTTGTAAAAGTTCTAATTATTCACTGTGGTTAATTTTTTAGCCTCTCAATAGTTTAAATTATGTTGACATTTTAGTACTGCTCAGATAGTGTATGTTCATTGTCATAAATAAAAACAAAAATTGGAAAAAAGAAAAAGAAAATTATCTGTACTTGACCTTCTAGAGGGAACCTATCTAGAAAAAAAAAACAATTGATATGATGGTATGAGTTCCCAACATTTTTCTATGTATATGTAGACACATATAATATTGTAACATAAATAGAATTACAGTGCATGTGTAATATTATGCCATTTGTATATGCCAACTATATATACAATTTCATGCCATTTTTCCCAGGACATCACATATATGCACAGTAATTCATTCATCCAGTCTTAATTGTTAAGAATTTCTGATTTTTTGGTAGTATAATAAATGCTTCTATGAACAATTTTCATGATTTTTTTCTTAGTCTTGGAATTCCTGAGCCAAAGGGCATACAGTATATTTTGGGGGGGGGAGCTTAGTATTTAGTTATTTATTCAAAAATTTTCAAATTGAAGCATAGTTGACATACAATATTATGTTAGCTTCATGTGTATAGAGAAATCGTGACCCAACAATTACATACATTATGAAATACCATGGTACGTGCAGTTACCATCAGTCAGTATGCAAAGTTATTATAATATTATTGACTGTATTCTCTATACTGCACTTTTATCCCTGGGACTTATTTGTAACAGAAATTTTTACTTCTTAATCCCTTTCATTTTTCCCCCCATCTTCCTACCTCACAAGGACATACAATTTTTAATGCTTTCTGAAATTTTTTTTTTTTAATTTTCCTGTAGAAAGTTTGTCCCATTTTACACGCCATCCAGTATACCCAGGTCTTTAAAAGCAATGGGTATTTCCATCCTCCTAAGTTTTTAAAGTAGTATTATTGGGTTTTATTAAATTATAGAGAGATGGATTTACTAGTGAATTTAACTTTAATTATAAGGGAACATGACATCAGGATAAGTAATAAATGGAATTTTCAAGATGTGTTGAAAACTCTGTCTTTATTACTGAGGTCTCAATTAGAGTTTTCAGGGCTGTTTGAGATTATAAGGAAAATACACATGAAAACAAAACAAAACAAAATTGTTGTTTTCCCAAAATAGAGTTAGAAACAGGTCTGAAGAAGAAAAAGCTCAGGGGAACATGACCCAAAGTTTTCTACTAGGAAAAGGTATTGCATTAATAGCAGTCTATGGCTTCATAAAAGAATTAAACAAAGCAATGGTACCTTGTATTTCCTAGGTTGCTGGGATGAAGCTAATCTGGCATTTGATAGAACCATGTTAAATTTTTTTTTAAACTGTGGTGTCAGGAAACCCTTTTTACTCATGGCTAGGATTCAGGTACCAATGTTGACCACCAGAGTAACCTACCTGTAGTAACTTGCAGCCAAATAGATGCTTCTAAGAAGCACCACAGAAAGCAAAAAGCAGATTGTGCATCATAGCAGAGACTGAGACATGTGCTCTGGAGGCATTTGGGGCTTTCTGAGTTTTGAGAATATAATCAGGTATAGACATTGCTGTGTGAATAAGAAACTCCATAAAAAAAGCATATTAGACTTACCCCACATAGCATAGAGAATATCAGCTTTACATCTGGTTTTCATATCTAAAGTCCTTAAATTGCCCAGTTGGATTTATTTCTGATCTGGTTTCTGAGTTTGTACTGTTAGAACTTCTCTGACATTAATTGTGTCTCCACATGAATAAGATTTGTAACTGGAAACCTCTGAGAAATAAAAGGAGATGCATTCATTAATGCTCTTGAGCAAGGATTTAATGCAAAAAAACTCTCGGAGATTTGAAACGCACACATTCCGGATATAAGCTTGTTAATATACACTAGTAAGGAGACTTTATTATTAAGAGATTAATTTCATTATCTAGAAAATAAATTCTTTAAAAGAGTCTGTCCATCCCTTCTCTAAAAAGAGGATGCATATGATTTCTTCAAGGTTAGTTCAAATACTAAGTTTGAGGAAAATGTATGATAAGCTTTGCTTATTTTTAAATGTGGCATTTGTGACATAGGCATAAGCACCTAAAAATGAATATTTTGAATAAGGAAAAAAGAATTTTTTATGATGTAGAGTTTATATTTGTCAAATGTAACTAAATGGCTGCCTAATTCTGTCTAGTGAATCTTTAAGATGTTATAGACTAAATAGCTATAGCTACTTATACCATTACCCTTGGAATACTCAGTATTTGTGTAATTAGGTCTTAGTAAATAATTCCTTTAATTCATTTTTTAAAATCTTGGCATCATGTATCAGGCTCTCATTTTTTTGGTATATTTGATTTCTGTATCACCTTTGTGAGTTTATTTAAATTAGCGACTTATGGATAATATTTTAAATCTTATTTTCTTACTGGAAATAGACTTTGTTAGGCCTTTCCTACTTCAACCAATAAAACTGGTAGAGAAACTTTTTCCCTAAAAGTTTTCCATGGGCAGTTAGCACTTGACGGTAAATAAATGAAATTGGTTCATTTCTCTCACCTTTAAACTTGCAGGTATTTATTCACTCATTCTTTCAACCATTGCAACAAATATTGCAGACTGCTCTCAGAAGCCCAGCACCATCTTAATTGTCATACGAATCCATATTATCAGTGGCTTTCAGATTAAAGAAATGAGTCCATTTACCTCTTTTTAACTTGTTCACGTTTTAAAATGTTTACTATTTCAAGACCTGTTTATAAAATATAAATATTACCAAAAATTTAAACAGAGACATCAAATCCTTATTGGATTAGAATATTTTGATACTTTCAAAATTTATGAAACCTCTTTATGTAACTACACCATTAAAATTGTCTACTTATTAATAGACCGATGCCTCTCCATTGTTCTTTTTTCTTGTTTCCTATATAATTTTTCCCTGATTTATGTTATTTTTCTATATATTATCTTTTCATATTGCTAGGAAATAATTCCAGATTTCCCATGTTTTGCAAATTCTTTCCAAAATTTTAAGGTAAGATTTAAGTAATCTTGAATTTTGACCTCTCTCAATCATCTTACAGTCCATAGCTTGTTAGCCATTCCTTTGCATGTATTTGTCTTTATATATATATTTCTTTTAATAACTTAATTCTATTTTTTTCCTTTTCCTTTCTAATAGAACAAATAACATGTGTATGTCTTATTAAATGTCAGTTACAATCTAAGCCACTCCCATGGACTTCCCCACTAATTTTTAATTGTAAGATCACATCTATTAATTTCTTTTTAATAACTCTTTAAAGTACTAATAAAAGGAAGAATTTATAAAAACTATGGTCTCTTTAAATGTGACATGAAAAATAAAAATAAAGGTAAAGATTTTTAAAAATATTTTAAAATAGTAAGCAGGAAAAAATTAATTGAAAAAGGTAAGTATTCACTTAGCTTGCTGTCCTGAATTTCATCACATCTCTTCTGCTCACTATTGGGTCACATGAGTTAGGAAACTTCATAGCATGTGGTAAGTGCTCAAAAAATATTTATGGAATTAATGATAGGATTCTTCCCTATATCCATTTGTTTTGCACTTCAGTTTCACCATCTTTCTTTATATTCCATTTAGGCTTGAGGTTAAAGATTTATCAACACTTTATGCCAACACTGGGATAAAAAAATTAGATGTAACTAATTTCATATCAAATATTAATTTTTATTTCATGCTCCATGAAACATGAGTTCGTGGATATACATAAACACGCTATAAAACATAGGAATATGCCTATGTGTATGTTTGAGTGAGTGAGTTGGTGAGAAAAAAAGAGAAAGAAAATGCTGATAGTTTAGCTGTTTGGAATTTAGATGGCCATCTACAGGCAAATAAACCCCCATGTGTTTGAATGCATGTGAAAGTTACCAACTAGAGAAAAGCCATTAGACTAAATAAATGAGTTATGGGAATCTAAATACTGTTTTGTACTTCATTTTCCTCTTAAAAAGGAGAATGTTGAGTGTATAAATAGCTACATCCTTCTTATAGTAATGCAATTTGCTTGACACTTTCCCACCAATGGAAAAAGCCATTTACTAAATGGACTCCATAAATTTAGTTTAAGAACATAATCCTTTTCTCTTGGACGGCTTTGTGAACCAGTTTCAATGGTTGAGAAACAGGTAATGGTGAGCCTGTCCGTGGAGGTTCACAGTGAAGTCCCATGCTCACTTCGGCGATCCCCGCTTTTTTGGCCGCAATGATTTCTGGTACCTTGGAGGTAGAGCAAGAGCATTTTGTTCCTCTGAGCTCAAGAACGTGTCATTAGTGCTTTTCTGTGCATGAAAGTAACCAGAGTAAAACAGGTGCCATGATCATGCTCCCCTGTTCATGCAGGGGAGCTCTCCTGGCAGGGGCTGAAACTTTGGAGTCCTGGTCTCCTGTTCCATTTCTTTCTCTACTTAACTATGCTGCCAACCAATCATTTATTCCACAGTTATATATGAAATGATACTGGGTTCAGGACACTGTGATAGGCTGGAGAAGAAAAGATCTGTAAGGGGTTTGTAACATTAGGGGGGAAACGAGACAATCAAGTGAACAATAGTGCATTTTCAGTAAATATTTGAGCTCAGATTGTTGTTGCATCACTGAGAATTGTTCTCAAAATGTGGTTCCTCCACCAGAACCACTAGATTTACTTGGAAACTTGTTAGAAAGACAAATTCTTAGGTTCCATCCTAGATAAACTGAGCCCAAAAGCCTGACAGTGGGGCTCAGCAATCTGTTTGCACAAGGCTTCCAGGTGACGATAATACACACTAAAGTTTGAGAGTCACTGGTATAGAAGAGGGACTCCTAACCCAGACTTCCAGGTCAGAAAAAGCTTTCTAGAGAAGGTTATACCTGAGCTGAGCTTTGAAGAAGGCATTATCTAGGGGAAAATGTTCCAGGCAGAAGAGGGTTGCCTTGGCAAGACCAGAAAGTGAGAGAAGGCATGGGTCTGATAGCATGGTGTGCCAATTTCTTTACTAGGTGTGTTACATGGATCATCTCTAATTCTCCCCAAGACCATAGAAAAAATGTGTGATGACTACTCAGATGATAGTACAACAATAGAATTAAAAAAAATAAAAGATGTGTCCACAGTCACAGGGCTGCTACATGTCAGAGACAGTAATTGGAACCTGTTTTGCCTGCCTCCTTAGCCAGCATTCTTTCTACTTCACAACTCCACCTGTCAATAGACAGTCATTTCACCTGTCACAGAGCTGTGATCAAGTGAGATGCTGAGTTGGAAGCTTTTTGTAAGTGCCAAAAATCGTATGAAGCCTGTATATGATTACTGTGGCATTCTTACCAGATAAGAGATCTTGATGAAAAAGTATTGTCACTAAGTCAATTCTAGAGTAGCTCCTGTTATTATTTGTGGAAACAATTATATAAATCTCCAAATATGTTATTCATTTTTGAGATGTTAATGGTAGCCTGGATACATTCCTCAGCAGATATTTTGGTAAATATTTTAGAGGTGCCATGTTGCCCCAGGGTCTGGTAATACCATACTGAACAAAATAAATGTATTTTCTGTCATCATGGAGCTTATATTATAATAGTGTATAGCGTTTTTAAATAATAGCAGGCCACAATGTTACTGTGACTATAACTCCTCAAATTTAGTGAAAACTAATTTCGTCCAGGGTAGTCCTCTGGGTCACCAATGGACTCCTGTTGAGCAACCTCAGGTCTATGTTTCCACTCCTGTTTCAGCCTTCGCTCTTTGTAATTCTGTACGTAGGACATTTCCTCTTGAGCATATTTTCTTAATTAAATTAGTGTTTCTTGAGAAGAAAACTAGAAGCAGGTAATTTAAGTGCTCAGCAAGATAATTAAGATATTTTTCTAAAATTAACTTTTGCTTCTCACTTTCCAAAAGAGGTAGGGTGAGGAGAGAGAAAACTTTTCGAAGACAACTGGACCTTATTAAGTATACAGTGTGTTCTAGGATCACTCAGGGATTAATCAGCAATTAAATAAATGTACCGTGACTAATAAAGTTCTAATGTCTACTGGTTTCTAGAGAGAAGACAGACTAATTTTGAGGGAAATGAAAGTTTGGATAGAACAATTTGAAAGAGACTTAACAAGGGCACAGATGACAGAATCAAATTTGCAGGACAAATATCAGGTAATGTATGGAAAAGAGACTGAGTTTTTCAAAGCTCTTTATGAGTAAGATTTATATATGTCATTTAACATTTGATCTTTGAAATGATATTAATGACAAAAGTCTTTAAAAAAGTAGCAGTGTATTTCTTAAGTTTGCATGTAATTTAGTGTTTATATTTCTATGTAAAGAGTTTTTGTACTTTGATACATTTATGTATTATAACATGCCTGCCATTGTAGTAATAATTAGCACCTCTACCATATTACATAATTATCATTTGTTCATGGTTGGGATAATTAAGTTCTAGTATCTTAGCAAGTTTGATGATTATAATATAATGTTGTCTACATTGACTATACTGTGCATTAGATCTCCAGGGCTTATTTACCACTTGTTGCAAGTTTGTGCCCTTAAATAATATCTGTCCTATTCCTCCAATCCCTGGCAACTACCATTTTACTCTGTTTTTATGAGTTTGTCCTTTTTGGATTCACTCATGTAAGTGATATCATATAATATTTGTCTTTCTCTATATGCCTTCCCTCACTTAGCCTAATGTCCTCAAGGTTTATCCATGTTGCTACAATGGCAAGATGCCCTTCCTTCTCGTGGCTGAATAATACTCTGTTGTGCACATACACACATCTTTATCCATTCATATGTCACTGAGCCCTTAGGTTGTTCCTGTATCTTGCCTGTTATGCATAATGCTGCAGTGAAAATTGTTTGTTTCTTTTAAGTAAAGCAACTATTTTAAATATCAGCATAGATTTATATTCCTCTTTACTATTATTTCCCATTAAGCATGGACTGGCATGTAGGTTATTTAACTAGAGATGAGAGATCTTAGTCTTGAGTCCTGCCTCTGCTGCTTGTCCTTGCTAAGTTACCTCTGGCTTCCTGTGTAATAGTAGGGCCTGTCTGTGTTTGGGGTTGTGGAGAGAACCAGGGGAGATAATGTGTAGAAAGCACTTAGCATGGGGCCAAGTGCTTTCATTGCCAGGGTTTGAAGAATGGCAACTGCCATTAGTATCATGACTGTCATTAATATTATTATCATCAACAACATATACTGAGTGTTATCCAAATATACAGGATTGTTATTTAGGAAATGTGGTTTCCTTTGCTTTTTTTTTTTTTTTTTGACTCATTGCCATGTTGTTGCCATTTTTCTTCTTCTAGTCATTTAAGCACTTCAGAGTTCAATATGAAATAAAAAGGAAACAGATTGAACATTTAATACAACCGTTACATAGAGATGGTAAATTATCACTTGACCAAGCATTGGTGAAACAATCCTGGGACAGAGTGTCGTCCAGGGTGAGTTCTCCCATGATTAACCTCACTAGGGCTTACTTAATTTAGTCAAGAATATTTTCTGTCATCTTTTTCTACATAGTGGTATAGCTCATGTTCTCCTGCCTCTGTCCGAGATAGGAAAGGCTTAACTCTGGGAGTTCTCCCTTAAGTTGGTGGAAGTACTTGCTTAACAGTTCTTTGCCTGCTTTGCCTGCCCTACCCAGAGTATCACCACCAAGTGGATGATGGATTGAAATCACGCAAGGCCATCTGGTTTACCTCTCACTTTGCACAACTTAATTCTGGGCTGCTTAGAACAGGTGGCTTTTCCAGCAATGGAGCCTCAACAACTTCTCCCAATTCTGTCATCAATATGTAGTCATCTTCCTATGTTCATATTCATTTTTATATTCTTTAAATTAAGCAAATCTTTTTATCTGGTCTTCCGTGAACCTGAAGGAAAACTGCTCAGTAACTTTCACATTAATCTTTTACAAACTTGAAGACCAAGATTTCAAAACCTCTGAAAGTTCTGTTACTAATGTGAATATTTGCCTTGAACTTACCGTATTTTATTCATTTTTATAATCTATTCTTTTCCATAAACTCTATCAAAGAATAGATGAGTTCTCAAGCCCTATAACATATCCGTGTGGCATTCCAGTAATCTAGGAAATGATGCTTGAGAATAGATAAACTGAAGAAATGAAGAGATGATTAGAGAATTGTGTTATTATAGAAAGAATCCTGAATACTCATCTTCCTCCAGAGATGTCTAGATGACATGTCCAGAATTTTCTGGACCTGTTTCCATCACGTGAGAGGTTTCAAGGATACCCCTCAGCTGGTGTGTAACTGCTACATTCTGGAGCACGCCAGCAAACCCCGCCCCTTCCCTTGCATCAAACCGAGCCTGAAAATCAGTGGGTACTTCATGCTATTTCAATAAGAAGAAAGTTGCTTAAGCTCCCAATGACATACTTCCATGTCTAAGATGTATTTTATGTTTCCCCCAAATTTGCTTACAACTGCAATTCCCTCCCCATTCCCAAAGCCTCAATTTCAGGACACAGTTCCTTACTTGATACCTTATTAAATTAACCTGAAATTACTTACTTAAAGTCCCATGTGGGTGTTCAGGTCATTTAGGGAAATTTTAGTCATTGTCCTCTGTATTAGAGATATTCTGTTTTTCGACTTTTGTATTTCAGCTCTTTGATTGGCATATACAGCTTGATAAATCTCTCCCTGCACCTCTGGGCACCATAGGTGCTTGGTTATACAGAGCAGAGGTGGCCCTGAGAGAGGAGATAACCATTCAGCAGGTCCATGAGGAAACAGCCAACACAATACAACAGAAACGTGAGCAACACAAGGTAAAAATTCTTTTTGAAAACCGTCCAACATAACAGTCCTCGTGGTGGCCATTAAGACCTGGCTCTGGATACTGGCCTCCCAGGCATCTGTACTGACTCAGAGACAGTGTTCTTCCTTATAATTTCTCTAATTTATGTTTCCCTCTCCTCTATCTGTGCATGATATTTCCAGTAGATTTCTTTCCTGAGGTATTTTCCAGTAGCTTGTGGTATTTGTTCCTCTGTAGTTTTCTTTGCTATATGTTATTTTTCAAGAGATAAGCCCACGGGCAATATGCACTTTCATAACAAGGTCATTGGCTATTGGCTCAGACCTCATTCCTGCTCCCTTGCCATATGCACAGAAAGGCAAGCCAAGTCACCAGATTCTTCTGTCCTGGTGCTGTGGGGGCACGCAGGGGAGTGAAGGCAGGGTGGTGGTCTTAGTAGCAAGTGCTAGGATTATGCCTTGATGACCTCTTAGTTATTTGTGACTTATTTCAGCTTACTGCATGGTCTCTAGTGTAAGTGGTGCTAGTGTAAGTGGTGCTTATACTTAAACTCTAATGTAAGTAGTACTTAGTGTAAGTTCTAATATACTTCCTCTTTATGTTTTGTTATAGTACAGACCTAACTAAAAATGCTATTTATCATTAACATCACATTGATGCAATCCTGCATTTTGTACAATTGAATCTGTGTAACTCATTTACTGTGTCATAGTGGAGATTTCCTGTAGTGGAGGGAAACAAATTAATGAGCAGTGGTGATCATATATGGGCAACATATACCTTATATATATTTCCTGCCAAATTATTAATATTTTTTAAGTTGCCCAAGGAAATAGATGTATTTGTTGTATGTTCTAGACTAGATTATAAAGCAAATTGATGACAGTTCATTTCATGCCCCTCTGGGAGCTTATTTTTGGAACTAGAGATATAAAGGTGTCATGCAATTTCAGCTCCTGCCTCTTTCAGCTCAACTGGCTCAACTCAGACTGGCACAAGATTTTTGTGAACCTACGAAATAAATCAGAGAGGGTCCTTCCTGCATTTATTCTGGGCCCTTCTCCAGGTGCAATTCCTACCTTCAGACACTTTGTTTTGCAGATTATCCTATGCCTCTCTCCTCTCCACCACCGTCAACACACACAGAACACACACAGAACTCCCTAGAATCCACCTCTCAGATGACAGCATGATGTTAGGGTTCTGCTCCATCTCAGAGATGCACACACATAAAATTCAGGCCTGCTAGTCTATCCTTTGGTTCTCTGAAGATGGAGGATAAGAGATCAAGTCAGAGCAGTTTCTCTGCAGCTAAGCCAGAAGCATAGAAAAGCCTGGACCACATCCATGTTAAGATTCCCAGCGTATTAAAAATAGGGGAAAATGTTAAAACAGGGCTACACAAATAATACCACTTTAACAAATAAGCAATTTGGCATAAATACCATGTAATTATTTCTCTTCATGTAAATCATCTAACAATTGAAACAATTTTTTAATTGACGTGAATATTTCATATAAAAGATGTCACCTTGGGTTTTAAATGAAATGTTTACGGATAGTGGCTTAGATGGGTTGATTCAGCAAATATACACTGAGAGGCTACTGTGTGCCAGGTTTTGATGCTGGGGAAGGTGGTGAAGGTGCCTTCTACGTACAGGTTTGAGAAACAACATGTGTTTGTGTTGGTCTGCAAGCTCCTTGGGAGCTTCTCAGGTGTAATCTGAAAGCAGCCCCCATATGCAGAGGACAGGGCACAGAGAAACCGAAGACGTGGGCCACTGGATTGGTAGGTGGGAAGTTTATAAGCAAGAGAATTTCCACACAGGGTTTGTGTTGGGTGGGCGCAAGGCGAGTTCATCTCCTCCCCCATCCACCAGATCTTAGATGTTTATACAGAAGCTTTTACTGGGTTCAGTCTGGATTCTGTCCAATGGTCTCAACACCATGTCATTATCTCAAGGCTACGTACATGAGGAAGCCTCGGAGCCTGGAAGGAGCAGAAACAAGTTCTAAGGATGGGCTGGGTGGAGGGGTGAGGAGCTCCTGATGCTGGGGTCCAGCTCATGGGGCAACTGGCGGTCACAGCTTCCAGAGGAGCCTCGCTAAGAGTTTGTTGTTTATGTAACAGACAAGTCTAATTTAAACTCTCTTCCACAGAGAAAAGGCCCTACAGTATTAACTAAGCTGTTTACTGGGTAACAAGATTTAACAAAAATATTAATTCGTGGCACACTGGGGGCAGCATCCCCTGATGGGGAATGAGCTTTAAGTTGTGTGGTGCTCATGCTTTCGGTGTCTGCCCCAGTGACAATGTGATTCGGGGCCCTTCGTGCCTCCTCTGGCCCCTTGAGAAGGACACCCTGTGCTGACGACCGAGTGTGTAGTCAGAACCATCTCTCTGCTGGAGTGTAGTAAAGGATCATAAAACCCAGAAATGGAGTGGACTGGGGGAGGAGAAGAGGGAGAGGAGTCAGAGAAGATGGATATATGTGAGACTAGTATCCAGAAAGGACTAACCAGGCTAAAGACAAAGCTGGGGAATGCACTAGAGACAACAGGAAGCAAGCAAACATCGGTTCTCATTCATTAAAAATATATTTATTAGGTGCCCATAATAAAAAAAATTTTTAATCAAGTGATAAATTTAAGTCATTGCTAAGATAACTAAAGTTCTAAGCTCCTTCAAAGCATAAAAATCAGCCCATAAATTTGGTATCACTACTCTGTGCCAGTATGTTAGGCTCACTTAGGAGCACAATAAATTTAAAACAACAATATAAGACTCACCCACACATAAGCAAGAATGGTTGAGAATATTATCTTCTGATAGCGCCTAAAAATAAGTATGACCCTTGTCATGAAAGCTTAATATGCTATCAAAATGTAGAATTCTTGATGTTCTACACACTTCATATTTTTTTAATATATCACATGACAATCATTCATTACTTAATACATAGTCAGTGTTTGAAAATTGGATTCAGGTCATTTTCAAAACATTTTTTTCAAGGAGTTCACTTTATGAATGGTTCTACCAAAGTTTTTTATTTTTTAATTTACTTTTTTTTTTTATTGAAGGGTAGTTGACACACAGTATTACATTAGTTTCAGGTGTACAACACAGTGATTCAACATTTATATACATGATAATTCTAGCTACCAGCTATCACCATACAAAGTTGTTACAATATTTTGACTATATTCCTTATGCTATACATTACATCCAGGTTACTTATTTATTTTACAATTGGAAGTCTGTACTTTTTTGT